CTTCCTTCCTTCCTTCCTTCCTTCCTTCCTTCCTTCTTTCTCCCACTGTCTATCTCTTTGGTTTGTGTTCTGTTTTTCTGGGAGAATTCCTTAACTCCATGTTCTGACTTATCTGTTGAAATTTTTATTTCAAAAAGTGTTACCTAATTGTCTGAACGCTTCTTTGGTTTATCACCTCCTGTTCCTGCTTCATAGATACAATTCATTTCTTATCTCTGTAGATATTCTAGCTTCTTCTTTTGCCTGTGAACACTTTCCTTCTGTGCTTTGCCTTTTATGTCAGAGGCTTTCCCCAAGTGTCTGATCATTTAATATTTAGGAGTGAGGCCCAAAAACACCAGTTGGAAGGTCTGTGTGCATGGTGGGCAGGACCCCAGGTTGGCCTCAGTGGAGGGAAGATGGGGAGCCACAGTTTTGTTATGAGGCCCCCAAGTGTCATTACCATTTGGCCAGTGGCCTTGAGGGTGTATTTTTTTTCCTTTCCTTAGGGAGGGGACCCTACCACATTCCCCCCATTGATGCTCGGACCCCTCTATTTTGGGTCAAAGAGCATCATCTTGGTTTAGAGGTTTATACTTTTATAACATCACTACATGAGTGGCCATCTTTTTTAAAATCATGTCCTCAGTGAGACTGAGACAACCAGGGGAACTAAGCAGTGTAGGATTAAGCACCCTTCCAGAATTAGGAGGATAATTTTTATGAGAGTTTTGAATCCCTCGAAAGTTGAAAACCATCCTCTAAATAACTCCCCGGGGTTTTAACTGTTTCAGGTCTGGCTGGGGGCAGAAGTCCTTTTCATTTCCTCTGTGATCTCTTCTATGACCTTTTTTTAAAAAATTATCTATCTGTAGGCAGCAGGTGCCCAGCTTAAACTTTTTATGAACTCCTCCCTCAGAAGCAAGCAGGTAGTCTAAGGCCCGGCGATTTTGATAGATGGCATTGTGCATTTCGGTTTGCTGCTTGGCCGGTAAGTCAAGAGCTCTGGCGGTTTCATTGGTGATAATTTCTACAACTGCTTGCAGCCTGATTATGCGGGTTAGCATGCAGGTGGGAGTGCGGTGGCCCCGGCACCGTCCTCTGCCCAGGTGGCAGGGCCACAATATTGGATTATACGCTCGGGAGGCCATTCGTCGTCTTTGAATTGCTGATTTGTGGGACACGCCACTTCCTCTGAGTCTCCCTGTCCCCACACACTTGGACTCCCAAACGTCTCCCTCTGGCAAGCGCGAGCAGGAAGAGAGGTGGACAAAGAGCTCCCAGCACACGTGACCCTGATCAGCCTGGGGGCAGGGCCGTGTAGGCTGTCCTGCCACGTATCTAGGACAGTCCACCTGGACCCGCCATTTGATGGCTGCGCTGACACTGTCCCAGGCCTCTCAGGGAAGAGAGAAGTTAGACAAGGGGTGGGGATCTGGTTCAAGGTGATCTGGGGTCCCCCACCATTGGGTTTTCCTGGCAGTTAAGTTATAAAGTCTTTGGCCTAGGCAGGTTAAGTTTTTAACAGAGACGACGATGAACTTTGCCCCACCAGGCAAGAAGGTTTTTCCCAATAATTGAGCTTTAGAGAAGCCAAACCCCAGCAGGACTGGGGTGTTTTGTTTTACTGTTAAGGTTTGTGGGGATCAGATTTTCTAGTCTCTCATGGCCATTGTTTTCCCGTGTTGGCACCAACGAAGCATCCTGTCCACGAGAGGCAGGTGAGTGAGTGTTCACAGAAACCTCTCCCCACGTTTGCAGTCGGCCCGGGCGGCCTCGGCCAATCCTGTGGCAAAGAGTAGAGCAAGAATCACAACAAGAGCAAGAAACAGGGCGTGACAGTGCGTCACAGCATGGAAACATCTAGAAAATAAGGACAGTCTTTTGTCCCACCAGACCTTCGATTCCCCTTCGATTCCTCAAGCTCCTGGCGTGCGTAGCTCAGTCAGCTTCCGGAGTGACTAAAGCAGGGCTGCGGTCTCCCGGAGCCTCTGGAGTGGCAGAACCTTCCGTGTGGTCAGCTTGCGCGGCATGGATGGATCAGGAAAGCACTCCCGGCTTCGAGATGCCGGCTTCGCTCTGCCGTAGTGAATCCAGGGACCCACTTCGGCCACCTTTCCTGCGGTAGGGGTGGACAAAATGACAGTGAACGGGCCCCTCCAGAGGGGCCTTAGGGGTTGGGCACTCCAGTCCTTCACCCACACAGCATCTCCTGGTTAAAGGGGCGAGCGTCTGTGGTCAGACTCGCAGGGAATCGCTCCCTGACCCCGTGGTGTAAGGTGGTTAGGGTAGAGCCGAGGGCCCGCATCTGTGCTCGCGGGGTTAGATTGTCTATCTCATTTAGATCCCCCCTCATGCCCTTGGTATTGAGGGGAGGGCGCCCATACAGGGTTTCATAAGGGGAGAACCCCGTGGGCTTCTTCAGCCTCCCACCTGCGGCTGCAGTCTGCCTCCCGGAAGGTCCCTGATCTCTCCCTGCCTGATGTTAACCCTTCCCTATTCACTCCTCCCCTGGAACAGGGCCTGTGACTGGTTAGAGAACAGGGACGATGACCGCTCTGGCTTCTTCAAGCTGGTAAGGGGCGGTGCGGGGGTACAGCAGTCAGAGTCAACCCAAGGGTCAGCCCAGTGGCCACGGTATGGTTGACAGGGAGGCTGGCAGGCATGAGGTGGCATAAACATGAGCAGACGTGAAGAGAAAAACACAAAGTAAAGATTCTGCCGACCAGCAAGACGGCATCTTAAGATGGCGTCTACGGTTTCCAAACCCGCCGGACAATCTCGGAGAGACCCTGACTTTGTAAACAACACACATCAGGGAATCTCTCATAACCCAGGTGATGGAGAAGCAGGAGCATTAAGTAATCAGTGGTGGCTCTGTTTCCAGGAGTTTGGCCCTAACTTAGTTAAAAAAAACTTTTTTAAAGCCCCTGATGCTGGTGAGGTGTTATTTGGAGTTTTGCTGAGTATAAGCAGACAATGTGCTTTACTTTGAGGTGTAACACTTTTCCGAGAGCCAGGAGTCCGACTAGAGAAAGAGTCAAAGCAGTCGTTCACCCTTATTCATTTGCAGGTGTTTAGGGAAGCCATACCTGGGTATTACTTTATAAGGCAGAACTTTTATTACTTTCCGTGCCTTTTCTGTCTTGTAGGAGAAGGCCTTTACTCAGTTCGTACAAGTATTGGTCCATACCAGCAGGTGTTGGGATTCCTTTGACCTTGGCATCTGAGTGAACCTAACTGTCAGTCTTCCCTGGACAGCCTCCGGTCCCTCGATTATCTGGGAGAGCAAGTTTGTGCTTGAAAGGAGTGTTTCTAAGATGCTGATATTCCTGGCACAACTGTCCTTGACGATTTTTTTTTTTTTTCTTCAGTAAACATCCTTTGGGCCCTTTGATAAGTTTCGTCCCTCCCTCAATGAAAGGCCTAATGCTGTGTTTTATTAATCTTTTTAGCTCTGTGAGCTCGGTAATCATAATTGCCCAGCTCTGTTTGTAACCATTCCAAGGGCTGGAAACAGACCCCAGAGCCTAGGAGTCAGACCCCAGTTTAGTTTCTTGGGGGGGTAGGTGGAATTGAGTCTTCCTTAATAATTGATATAGCGGCAAACTATTTTCCTGAACCCTGGTATCTACAGCCTACGACATCCAGGAATGCCCCAAAACTCACACAATTGTTTATTCGGAGTTAGTAGCACCACAGTCTCTAATTCAGTTATAATGTCCCTTCCCAGCAAGGGAGTAAGGCTCTCTGGCATTATCAGGAAAGAAAGAGAAAAAATTAGGTTTCCCAAAGACATCCCAGGGGCTGAGCGAAAACATTTAGTTACAAGTTTTCCGGAGACGCCTCTAATCGTCACGCTGTGTTTGGATGGTTGGAAAGGAGGACAGAAAAGTTCACTCTGGTCAATTTTTTTTAGAGTTACCCAAGGCTCTGGGTTTCTGGTGGACAGTTGGTTTAGGGGAGCCACCGTGAAGAGCCCCAAGCCCCGGTCAGTCCCTTCCAGGGACACTGGTTATCTGAGCCCTCACAGATACAGGGCCCCGAGGGCATTCAGATGTCCAGTGATCGTCTCCACAGAAGGGGCATAGCCTATGGGGTTTTCATTTCGGTTGTCCCCTGTGAGGACGTTCTCATTTTAGTGCTCTGAATTCACGGCCGTATAAATGGCACTTGGGGCCAGGACCTCGGGAAGCCTGGTCTGACATAGTACGGAAGGCCACCACTAAGGCCTCAGATTTTTCTTTTTTTTTTAATTCTCCTCTTGATCCTGGTTGTAATATACCCAACTGGCAGCTCGTAAGATCTCCTCCTTCTGGACCAACAGCAAGTTTTTGCCGTTTTCTCCGAATATCTGGGGCCCATCGAGTGACAAATTTGTCTTTTAGAATCGTCTCAGCCTCAGGGGTGTCGGGGGGGATAGCCGTATATTTCATGAGAGCCCCCTTAACCTTTCCAGGCAGGCCACCAGGGTTTTATTATGTGTCTGTAAGACAGTGGCTACTTTAGCATAATTGAAAGGCTTAGCTTCAGACCTCCTGACCATATATAAAATTTCTTTTTAAAGATTTTCCTTTATAAACCTTTTACAATTTTACTTTGCTTTTAGATTTGACCTAAGCCTTTTTTTTCCCCCTAAACAGCCAGTCTCATTTAGGACAAAATTACCTTTTTTTTTTTTTTTTTTTTTTTTTTTTTTTTTTAACCTTTAACAAAAAATGTATTTTCATTCCTTATATATTTTTTATATATCTACTTTTCCACACGCAGATTGCTTTCCTTATTTTCATCAGTCTTAACTGCATTTAGCAGAATTTTAACTCATAGAAACTTTAGTCTCCAGTGAAAACTAAGTATAACCAATTGTGACCTGTTACATCAGAACTTCTTAGATGGCAAGTTTTTGAATCAATTAAGCACAAAACATGTTTTCCCACAGATCCAAATATCCTTAGTTTTTTGCAACAAGTCAGAAGCACAAACCTACATATCTAATAATTAGTGCTTTAGCCTCTTATCTCATTAGACATCCAATGAATTCAATCCCAATTTATCATGCAAGCAAAAACTAACGTTTTAGGTTACCAAAGACTTTGAAAGCTATCTTTTTTTTTTATTTTTTTAATTAGTTTTCTTTATTTTTGAGAGGCAAAAAGAGAGGGAGACACAGAATCCGAAGCAGGCTCCAGGTTCTGAGCTGTCAGCACAGAGCCCAATGCAGGGCTCAAACTCACGAACCGTGAGATCATGACCTGAGCCAAGTCAACCGACTGAGCCACCCAGGAGCCCCTTTGAAAGCTATCTTAACAATTACTCATGAAAACTATGAGACAGACGAAATTAACCATCACTTTAAGCCATCCTTTTGTTAACAAACTGGAACAGAGATAACGTGAGCTCATTTGACCTTTAGCAAATCTAGGGAGAGTAAAAGTTCTTTCTTATTTAATGTTGATAAGCATTCTTTATCTCAAACCAACAAACTTAAATTGGCTTAAACATTGAATACGTTTTACTTGGGTCCACATAAGACAGTTTGTTCCCCGTGGTTGATTTTTCCCTGGGAAGTTGGTGGGGAAATCTGACTTCGGGGGTCTTTGCTCCTCGACCTCTGGGGAGGTCAAACTCCAGGTTTGTTTTGTTTTGTGTTTTGTTTTGTTTTGTTTTGTTTTGTTTTGTTTTGTTTTGTTTTGTTTTCCACAGGTGGAATTAGGCAGTCAGTGTCAGTCCGGAGAAGCCAGGGAATTTCCCTGAAACAAAGGGAGTTTAAGCAGCTGCTTGGGAATATTCCTTGAGGTCCCCATTCTGAGGTAGAGTAACCAGAGACA